TTATTGTTATTACGGGGTTGTCGATGAAGTGTGTTATAAACTTTTATTGTGGCGTTCCGAAAAAAAAAGGGCTGTAAAATTCCCTCCACGAAAGATATTCCTTTTAATGATATAAATACTATTCACTTGAAGTGTTTCATATTTTCCAGAGACTGTAATAAAACGTTAACAATGCATAAAGTTAAAATCTCCGTTTAAGTCTACTGCCTCACCTTACGGCCCCATCGCGGAATTAAAGTAGGTCTCATTGTATTTAAGCAAATGGAATTACGTCCGCGGAAAGAAGAAGAAGAACTTCAATTTCTCTCGTTCGAGCTAACTTAACCCCAACAAACATCTGTTATTGAGTTGAAACTGATGGCAGAGAGAGGTGAAAAAGTTTTAAAACGGAGCGAGACAGAGACACGGACAGAGAAAGGAAGTAATTATCGCAGTTCCCTGGAGGCCACGAGCCACAGGTTCCACCGGTGACTGCCTTCCATTTCCCATATCCAATCCAATTAACTCTTCTCGATCCGTCGTTCTGTTTACAGGCTCTTTCAGTATTTCCTCCGTGACTGTATCGAAACCACGAGGCTGAATTTTAAGCCAGTGTGACAAGCGAAAGAGGCCGCTACTTCGTGCGAATCTTTTGGAAATTTTTCTGTATCATGGACATTGTTGACAGATTAGGCCTCTGTACCTGCTTGGAAAATTTAGAAACTGAAAATCGCAAAGAACAGAGCTCCGTGTTGTGTAATCGTGGTGGTAGTACTTCTGAATTTATTGAGTCATTTAAAAGTCACATGCAGGTTTTAGAAATTTGAAATGTCGGAACCAACTCTTAGCTCCAAATCTCGGAACATTTTGAAGAATATGCCACTTGCGTGTCTGAATCCACAATAGTAACTTCTGGCATGTCTTGTAACGTTTCCTCTGCTTTTCCATGCACCCAAGTTTTCACCCTGTGCACATCCCTTAATTTTGCGCTTCGAACCCCCATACGCGATTCAGTTGTGTCCTAAATTTACTAGAAGACTATAGAGGACGCTGCGAAAATGCTAAAATGTTGTTGCACTCTCTTAACTCTCGAGAATCAGAAGGAGCCTCTGTGGCTGGCCCTGCTCCCTCCACCTCCACCAGTAAAACCTCATAAATTTTTAATTTCTTTAAACGAAACTTATTAAAAAGGAATATAGGATGAGGACTTGTAATTGAGGTTGCCTGTTTCTAGCGGACCCAACAGAGTAGGTGCCTTCCACTTTTCCACCTGAAGACAGAAACATATACAGTTTTCGAAATGTTATGTTCTTTATAATACCGGACGCCGGACAAGTTGGGAAATTCAGTAACCCTCATTGCTATAGACTGTTGTGTGAATTCTTTGGAGCCGACTTGTCGGCTTAAATTTCAGTTCTAGGTTCAGTCGGGAGTCGTCTCATCATCTTCGAATTAAAACAAAACGCAGGAAGAGAAAAGGAAATTTTCTAGAACTGATTATATCTTCATGCTGAGGGTTCCTCTTGAGACATTAACAGTAACGAAACAGCATCTAGAGAATGAAAAATTTTAAGAAACGAAATCGATAAGTGTAGTGGAGACAAGTGATGGGTAAGAGTACAATAAAATTGAAAGCGAAGAAGAGAATTGGAGGTGAAGGAAGCGAAATGAATGAGATATAAGAAGAATGCAATTTCATTTTAAAATGTCACAAGGGAAAATTTGTGTTGAGGGCTGAAATTTAAAATGCAGATGTAATTGGCTGCTTGAAGAGGGGAAGGGGTGGGGGCTCAGCATCCGAGAGGCGTGACTGACGTGAGTGGGTCCCGGGAGCTAGGTAAGGACCCTCACATAAGAAGAGGATTCTCACAAGCTTTGTGTTTCCTTCTTATTGAATTGCGACGCTGAAGCGAAGTAACCGGAGAAGTAGTTTTCCGCGTATTAGCTCTACTGAGCAGTGGAGCACCAAAAGCCGGATGCGAGTACCAGAGACGAGTATGCAGATCAGGTGACGCTAATGCTTCCTGCAAGCCTGGCGATGCTGTGTCAGTTGATACTTGAGCAACAGAGACAAGGAAAATTTGGTCATGATGTTCAAGCACTTCGCTCTGTATCACTACACACTTGTTGAAAAATGTCCCAGTATACAACTTCTTTATTAAGACCGTCACAACACAACTATATCAAAGTCAGTGCCTAGTTTTGGCTCTGCTACATGTTTCGGTTATTAATAGCCATCATCAGGCAAATACATGGCCGACATATATACAACCACTGAACTGCAGTACTAATAAAATTGGATACAATAATATAAATTATATTGAAATATTTGCAGTAAAAATGCAATAAATTAGATTATATAAAACAAAAGTTATAGTATAAAACAAGAAAAAGTTCTTCGATTTATGCTTTACATCATCGAGTAAGTCGTTGGTTTTTGTGATTTTGTTGTGTTCCCATGGACAAATTGGAGTATTCTATATTNTTTTTGTATTGGAGTATTCTATATTTTGTGAATATTTAATAAACTGTTTTGGAGGCTCGTGATGCAGATGTAGTAATATTAATGTTAATTATTTAGGCGGTGCCTCATCTTACAAAGCACTGTCCGTTCTGTAGGGAATGTGAACAACAATTAAGATTGGAGTAAAATTGAGGAGAAAGCTTGATTTTTGTTACTTTCAATACATATTATTGGTATGTGAATAATATTTATCATATTAATGTAAAATAATCCGATGATTTTCGCTTACATTTTTTTATTAGTGAGTTGAGTATATGAAAACATTTTTGCCCTGTTGCAGTTAAAGGCGTTTTATGTGGACCTTCTGGTCCCTCTGGAAACCAACTTGGAGAAAGACACTAAAGTTGTACAGGTGAGTAAGATTTGGATATTCTGACTGCTTCTAACAGAGAGAGTTGCATAACAAAACTAAGTGAACACAGATTTTTGTTGTTGAACACTATTTTCTAACTTGTATGAAGACACCTTGAAACGTGGTAAAAGCAATATAAAATTAATTAAAATGTAGATGGAAAATAAGTCATCTGAAATAATCGAATGCAAGAAGATAGTTGCATTTAGGAAATGAGTTCTGTCCTCTAAGATATAACGCTGTGTAGTCCCTTGAAAGTGAACCATCTTTCGGAGGTAAATGTGGCCTCCACATTCAGGATTGGATAATACGCTCTTCTTCTTACTTGCTTCCTGCTATTTTCTTTCTTGGCTTATTCTTCGATGCTGAAGATGGGGTCCACATGTTTCTTCAAAAATTGGTTGACTTTCAAAAGACTACATGTCGTTATATACCAGAAGATAAAACTCTTAGAGATACTTGTAGTTTACTTTCAAATTTTAAGAACTGAAAGACTTCAGTAAGAAATTCGTCACTTATCAACGTTTTAGCTTTTTACAATTTAATATATTCTATCTGTTCCTTCAAGCAAGTTGTTCGAGCCCAACACTGGCAAGGTTGGCGAACCACATATTTCAAACTAATAATGTAGGCTTTAATGGAGATGGCTGAGCAAATATTTATTCCCTTCCTCGGATTCTTTTTTTATTCTTTATCAAACCGTACAGTATATGAATTAACGTGCGAAATCTGTGTACGTAAAAATGTAAAAACATTTACTCGTAAGACATTTCTGACCCATTCGTATTCGTTGGCATGGTGTTTAATGGAGATTCTGTACGACTTCCTGTGTATTATAACTTAGTAAAAAAAAATGTCAGCGCAGAACACAACCTACTTTCCCTGCCTCCTTCCTTTTGGTGTTGCTTCTCTGTTGTGAGCATCTATCTTCCCCCCCCCCTTCGTGACCCCTTCTCATGCTTATAGCCAAACATACAACCCGCGTAATTTTAACGATTTTTTTATTATTGAATGAAAATTTTTACTTCATGTGGTTGCAAGCTGAAGAATGTATTTTTGTTTATGTTGCTTCCTTATCTTGTAGTGTTCTCATATTCGGAATTCTTCTGCGCACTTCTAGGAGAGGATAGCTCAGCCAGTAAAGTCCATACTCTCATAGGACTTATATTCCCGACATGTGCAGCCGCTGATCTCTTTTCTGTACTTCAAACAAGACTACAGATCATCTTAGTTGAGTGCTTCATACTCGGAAGTTTTGTCGTTAGAGACCAAAAAAAAATGTTGTCAGAAGTTTGACAGTTTCTCCCGGACAGTTCCGGACAAATACTTTAAGAGGCGTCACTGTCTCTTGCTGTCACATCCGTTTCAGTTCATAACTGAATAATTTTGCGACCATTCGACGTGGTGTAACTTATGAACCTGAAAGAGCAACTACAAGTCTTAATGTCATCGCCAGACAATCTGAGTAACTTCCATATTTATTTTATCACCAGCATTTGTTTAATAATTTATGCTCTTTTATTTTTTCATTTTCAGTATTGTAATGCCATTATATCAGATTATGAGCCGTGGTTAAGCGGTTCATTTGTTTTAGTTATTCAAATCCATTTCTTCATTTTCAGAAGATACAGAACTTACGGTCCCATCACAGTGGCCACGAGGTTTAAGGCAGTGTTTCTCAACCGTTGTGAGACCTCCTCTTATAAAAAAAGAATTTACCGGGCCGCAGTCTCACAACGGTTGAGAACCACTGGTCTAAGGCATGAAAAATCTTCCCTCGCTCGAACGCTGGGATCGTGGGTTCGATTCCTACTCAAAGCATGGATGTCTGTGTGCTTTTATTCTGTTTTTATGTTGTTCTGTGTGTAGGTATCAGCCTTGCGAAGGGCTGATCCCTTACCGAAGGAGTCATATCGACTCTGTATAGGATCAGGAAACTGAAAAAAGGCAAGACCCAACGAAGGGCTGTATAATAATAATAGAGCTTACAGAATTTGATTTTAGCATGGTCGGCAATGATGAATTTGAAAGAATGTGGAAGGAAGCGGTCTTAGTTATCTTAATTACTTTCCGATTACTTACTTAACTGACTGATGAGGACGAAACAATGCGTCACATACCTCATGACTCAAGGTACGCGGGTTCAAACCCGGCGGAGGTCGTGGAAATTTTAAGGGCGGAAAAATTCAGGGAACAAATCCTCCGGGAGGGACTTTAAGCCGTGGGTCCCGTGTCGTAGATTTACGGCACGTAAAAGATCCTCATGTCTCTAGGAGACCTCTGAGCAAAATTAGGCAAGTTTCCCGCCCAAGTAGTTTCCAATGCCTCTGGTAGAGGGGGGAAACATCGGGTACCGACGGCCGACCTCGTTGGCTGAACGGGACTGATAGCACGCACGAGAACCGGTAGGGTATGGCGACATTAGAAATTAAAGGGGGACGGACAATGGACCAATAACTAGTCTAAGTGCATGGGGAAACCCACCCCCTCTAATAATAATAATAATTCTTCAGATAATGTTTGTGCTTACAGAGGATTTAACCCTAGAACTCTCGAATACGAATCGGTCAAAATCGACATTCCGTAATTTTGTAAGGTTCACAGTGTCGGAGTTCTGAGGTTTGGACAAGAAAAGAGCTGCTCTGGGATTGTCTAATTGGGCTGTAGAAACATTGAGTTTTGATAATGCTGAAATATAATTAAGGGAGAATCTGTGTAGATTAATTGTATCGGTGTTTGAAACTTGCACCTGCGAAATGTAGATCGGGGGCAGAAAAATACACAGCAAAGTTCACGCTGTTTATTCGTGTGAAAAATGAACTGCTTTCAGAGCGAACAAAAGAGATTTCTGCAGCAACATAAGCAACGCTCCGAGACGTACAGCAAAGCGGCAGCTACAATGAAGAAACAGCGGAAGAAGAACAAGGGCACCACCAAGACGGGGCTCGCCATGGACAAGGAGCTCAAGGTGAGGTTCATTGCCAGTCATGAGGAAATACACTTCACGTCTCTGCTGATTTCCTGCCGCCCCACGGTCAATTCACTCAGACTATCACGTCGGTTAATTTGGCTTTCTTTCCATAGCTATTTGTTTCTAGTCTCGCATCTCTCCCACTTCATTGTTCCTTCCTTTTTCCCTTCATTCGTTTTGTCTGTTTTGTTCTCTCTTTCGCTCCCATACTTTATCTCTTCCTGTCCTTCCCTATATTTTCTCTCGACATACCTTCCTATTTATTTAATTCGCTTTTCTCTTGAGTAGGCCGCACACCGACATGCGTCAAGACATGTAATAGTCAAGACACGATGTCGGCGACATGACGCAAAGAAAGGAGCACAATTGAAACGAATGAGGTTATGAAAACCGCCACACACCAGTCTGAGTCATGATGCTGACGTCAGCTTCATGCTGACGCATCACGAATGAAGAAAGACTGCGTCTTTTGTCTCATGTCTTGATGCTTGACTTGACGTGGTTGGTGTGCGGCCGCCCTAACGAATTATATGCAGCCCTCAAAGCACTGCGGGAGGCAGTTTTCTTACTCTGTGCTAAGTTCCGCATGGTCTCGATTCGAAACTCTCGTATCCTTGTTTCCAAGTACAAAAACTGAAGGCTTTGAGAAAAGTGTCCCAGTCTTCTAGAAGAATACCAGGATAATACTTTAATATATGCCAAGATTATTTCCTTTGTCTTTTCCTACTTCCCAGCCATGATCATCTTCCCCTCTCATTCGAAGCTATAGAGCCTGCAGTTGAAACATCGTCGCTCAATAACCTAAATATAAGCCAGCTTTTCTGACACTTTGCTCCATTTCTACAGATCACAAGTGCAGCTGTTAATGTCACTTAATCTGATAATTCTAACTCTCAGCAGCTGGAGGGCAGAGCAGCAACAGTTAATTAATTTCAATGCATTTGAATCATCTGCAGATGTTTGTCTGATATCTGGAAGTCATGTGCTAGACACGTTACAAGATGTGTTGTGTGTTGCAGAACATGCAGGTGCTGGAAGAAGAGAAATCCAAATTAGACGCTTTCTGTGAACAGAGTCTGAAGACGGTAAGCCTCGTATAACCATTAATATATATCTTAATTGGGGATGGTGCATCAGTTTGCCTACCCACACTGTTAACCTCAGCAACACAGTAAGAGTTTGCATGGAAAATTCTTGTGACAAAAAAATGCTGCACCTTTCGTTTCGTAAAAGAGAAAATTGTTATTAATTAACTAGCACCTTTCCTTGAAGATGTACACGGGAATAGATTTATAGCTGATGCACCTCTTAATCTCCTCTCTAGATGCAGGTGAATGATTTACTGATGTTCTGGCAGCTATGCCCCTTGGGGAAAATTCCCCAGTACAGATCGAATGAGAAGGTAGGTGAGTGACAGAACCGAGACAGACTGGCCGACTGACCACCGGTCGTAACATAATCTTGACCTGAGTCAGTTGGTCGGTTAGTTAATCGAGAGTTGCTGTAGCTGAGGCCGGGGACAGTTTGGGAACCTAAAAGAAAGGGAAGTCCGCCGTTGGAAGCCGTTTCCAGGTATCGGCTAGTGTAAACACAGCAGGCGAAGAAGACTTAAGTGTATGCTCTAGTGAACTGTAAAGTGTGTAAATTAGTGAAACGGTTATAATTACTTGTAGGCACGGATCTGTAAGTGTTCAGTAAATGCAATTACCTATCCAAACCTTGTATATATACTCAATCAAATGACAATATTTTCTAGGCCATGACGCAGGAAAGACGGCGGTATGGGTTTGTGCTAGAGCGCCAGTGTTCGTTGGCGAAACACTACTTGGCGTATCACAGTCAGGGGGGCACAGTGCTGCAGAGACATCTCGACGACTGGCAGGAGGTGGCCCAAACACGAGAGTTCCTCCCAGAACCTGTGGAAGCCATGTTCACTAATAGACTGCGGGTGAGCACAGCGTCCACTGGTGTGGGTCACGTATAATGTTATTTTGTACTGCCAAAGCAGATTATGCATGCTTTCTTACCTTAATTCCATCTTCACCACCATCAAATTTGCCCCCATTAATGAGATTAACACTGATCATAAGAGAAGTTTCAAGGTATTGATCCAAGTTGCATTATATCCTGATATGGAGGTATACAGAAGCATAATGAACCATGTTCGCCAGCCCTGTTCATAGAAATTGTTAATAAGGACTGGACAGTCACACAAATCTCTCCATACAATAAAGTCGCCCTGGTGATGGGTGATATTGTGACTAAGCATGCACTGATTGTGGGTAGTACTAAGTACTTCCAGCAGGCGGATCTGCCGACAACAGTCTGTCTTGAGGTGTCGTCATTATCATGAAAAATATTTGTTTAGAAATGCCTCTTGGAACTTTTTTTTTTCATTTTTTCAGTACTGAATACGGTGATTGGATTATGATTATGCAAATTAGAATTCTATTAATGCTTAATTTCATGTATGGAGTCGGGTTAGAATTCCTCCACCATAGTCCTATGATTCGTAGAATGTGATGAAAAGGGAAATCGGTACCTGGGGGTGTAATTGAGCCACCCTGTCTCTGGGGGACATGGTCGTCCAGGTTGAGCGATGGTTGCAAGGATGATGGCCGTTCTACGTAGAAGTTATTGTTGTCAAATCTAAAGATATGTAAACCAGATTGTCTGATTCACGACACAAAGTTGAGAAGAGACAAACATGGCAGAATCTTCTAAGGAAGGCTAAGGCTCAAAAATTGCTTTTTTGCCAATGATGATGATGATGAATTTCATAAATGAAACTTACAGTTGATGAATTCTGAGATATATATATTCTCAGATTGTATCGGTCTATAACATTAGCTTATTTGTATGGAAATTAACCGTTAAATAATCACACACACACAACCTACAATACTCTAACTTTGCACACTGAGTATTGGCAGACACCTAATTTTATTACTACCGCATACTGACTACATGGACATGTATACGCACGATATAATATGCTTTTACAGCAAGTGAGTTTCTGGCCAGACGAGGATCTCTACTCATCTCCCAGAAGTCCCAGTGTGGAGGATGACCGTCTTTCTATTGCATCACAACTGAGGAAAACAAAGTCAATGGATGCCTCATGCCTGGACATGCGCTCCATTAATGATGCCACAAGTCCCATGAAACCTTTGTCCAGAGCAAAGTCAGACTTCAACCTAACTGCCTCCACACACTCCCTCGTGCACGGTAAGTTCCATTTGTCCTCATTTGTCTCTTCTTTCTTCTCGAACTAGTCACTCCAGAACAAACGAATACCGATGACAATTGATATAGAATTCTGTATTCATGTTATAGATATTTGCATAGATGTCGAATGCAGATGAGCTCTTTCTGTTCAGGCCCAGACACTCCTTCAAGACCGAAATCAATGGCAGTTCCTGATAGAGGACCAGGCTGGGACACCCAACTTGCCAGGGCCCTGTATGCCTACCTGTCCAGTGGAGACAACCAGCTCAGTTTCCTTGAGGGAGACATCATTGCTCTTATGGGTGAGCTTAATTGGTAGCAAATACAAATATTACTCATACTAATACACTGAGACTCATGCAGTATTAACCCTCTAAAGCAAAATACTTACCATGTGCACTACCTTCTCTAACACTAAAAATTTCTGCATTGTGCACGTAGTATATGTTTCATATTCTGTTCAAAATTATTACTTCTCTAAACATGATTAACCAACCAGGTTTGTGATAGAAATGCAGTGTGGTTGTTCATCCTCATAGATACGAGCTTCATTTCTGAATATCATTTAGATGAATTGCATACTTCAAAGGGTTAATACAAGTTATTTTCCGATTTATAAAAGCAATTGAATTGGAATTTCCTTGCTTTAATATGAAATAAGTTCATATTGTTTTTCTTTTCTCTTCATTAAATACGCAGGGAAAATTCATCCAAATCTGAAGATAACCTGAAACCTTTTACTTTAGACTACCTAATAGTGTATGGAACATTTGCGAAAATTGTGTTTTCCTTGGTTGTCTGAAGACAATTAAAGCGATGTTCCTTTTATATTAATCTTGTTTCTGACTGTGTTGTTATTTCAGTCATGGTTCCAAGGTGAATTCCTTCTGAGACAAGTCTCTGGTCTAGAACTGCGATTTATAAACTCGTTTGAGGCATGCATGTATATCCATGTTTCTTGCATGTTGTGATGGTCTGTGTAAGTAGAGACCTTACAACAGCCCAATTTTCCATCTAGGGAGTCTTACTGAATGTCAGGAGTTTCCTAACTACAGAAGAAAATTTGAAACGAAACAGATGAGATACCCCATTGTGTAAAAGCTAAAGAAGAAAGACCTCAGACTTTTTCCTTATTTATCTTTCTTTCGTTTATCTTTCGTTCTTTCTTTCTTTTTTCTTTCTACCCATTTTTCACCCATTCTTTCTGTATTCTCTTCCTTATATCTTTCTAACATCCTTTCTCCCTTCCTTACCCTCTTTCTTATGAATACGTATAGTTGCCACGAACAAACCCTGGACGACACCAAAAACCTCCCCACCAAGACAGACAGGCAGCACAAAATCTGCCCGATACAAGAAGGACGATAGGAGTACGGACATGAACCTACATGGTTTAAAAAAAAATTTTAACTATTGACAATAAAGGTTTTTTAAATAACATCTAGAAACTTTTAAAAACTTTACAACACCAGGAAGCTGCTGTGATTGTGAAACGTTCGACGTTATGCGTACTGTGCATTATAGGATATAAGTGTATGTATATTAAATCAAAACACCTATTGTGATGGTCGTTTCCAGTTTGTAATGATGTTCCGCCTGAAGATGGCCTGTAAGGACCGAAACATGTAAGGGAGATAAGTTTTAATGTAGTAAAAACTTACATGTCACATTGGATGGAGTGGTTTGTATTTATATATATTTATAGTTGCAGTTACTAACATCCATAAATACAGAACATAATGGAATACAAGACCTTCCTGTTCATCCATGGTAATGATGGGTAAAAGATACATGAATAATTGAAAAACAAGGATAATCTGAATTTTGCAGACAATGGTAATTGGTAAATACATAAATTAGTGAAATATATATATATGTATATGCATAGCATCCTATTCATTTATTTAAAAAATTGTAAGATTTAGAGAAAAAGTGTATTGAATATAAAAATATTTACTCCTTTTTATAATATTCAAATATTTCTTACTTCCCTAAACACCAAGTTTATTTATTATGGAGAGATGCACATAAATGCATGCAAGTCTTCAAATAAAGTTGTTATTAACACTTTTTGATCTAAGTGAAATTCGAAGTGGCTCAATAGTTCTTCATAACATTCTCCAATATCAAATTTCATGAAAATCAATCCAGCAGTTCTTGAATATACAGACTGCCTGACAAGTGGGCTTAGCTGAATTAATAGACATTCTGCAGGGTTATGAATACTCCAAGAAGTACATGAGTTAAGCTGCAAACGGGAAAATCTTTGTGCAGATAAGCGGAAATATACACTTTTTGGAAAAATTGTTTGTTCTTCAGGTGAAAGGAACAAGGGTTGGCAGTTTGGGGAAAATCTGAGAACTCAGTGCAGCGGTTGGTTTCCACTAGCATACACAGAACTTCTTCTGGATGACACAAGGTGAGGAGACAGCATGTAAATAAAATGTAATATTTTATATTGTATTCACTATTTAATACCATTCGTTCAGCTACAAAATAATAGGACCTATCATTTTATTTTTCACAAAGTCATATTCTTTGGAAATTTTGTGCATAATTATTATTCTTCTAACTTCTATGAAGTACATTGAGTCTGTTTATAATCAAATAATATGGTCAGGAAAATTTAAAAAAGACACACACAACTGGTGAACAAAGTCTCATTTGATGTTGTTCAGCTCTCCAACGCATCAGAGGATACAGAGCCTGGACTCCACTGGGTCCAGTACAGCTGCTACAACACCAGCAACGCCTACTGCTGGAGGTTTCAGCATAACCTCTCAAAGTGGCCCAGGAGCTGGCAGCCAAGGCCAGCAGGCACAGCTGCAGCAACAGCCAAGCAGTCTGCTTTCGGGTAAATCTGGAATTGCCAGCCCTGATACCACCACAGCGACATCCCCTCGGCCCTCTGCCGCTACCACCCCAGTAACAATGTTTGGCGACACTCTCCTGCACCACAGAGCCACCAAGCAGGTAGGATCCTCACTGTACAGTAGTGCTCACCTGCCTGGCTATCAAGTAATTTCCACCTTTGCTTGATTTGTGAATTGAATTATCTTCTTTTGTATTTGTTGTCATTTGAACCTTGTCAAGAAAGTTTCTTATATTTTAATAAATGTTTTCCGTATTAATGGTATGCTTCTTCATTGTATAAATAGTGATTTCAGTATTTTAGGTACAGACAAACATATACCGAGGATAAATGTATAAAATAACCACAAAGACAAGGGGACGAAAAGTAAGAAAATTCTGTAGACATACATGTTCAATTTCTTTTCCTGTTTATATATGTGAATATATTATGAATTGAAATTTACTTTTCCTTCCTAATAAATGCTATTCTTGCTTATGAATGATTATTTTAACATAATGACATCTTTCATTGTATTTAAGGTAGACAGTTTCAATCTTCATGCTGTTTCTGGTATCATTATTGCATGGTTATTGTTATCGCAATAGAAAGAGCAGATTCGTTTTTTTGGAATACTTTCTACTTTTCAGTTCAAAATCTTTCGTCTTTCCAGTTAATATATAAGACTGTAAACATTTGTTTACTCAAAATTAGAATTCCATCCATTCTTCTACATGTCTGTAAAACTTCATCTCTCACCCTAAAAGAGGAACATAAATTAAGGGTGTTTTGTAACTGATGCTGAAGCGAATTTCTGGACATGAGAGAGGTAAGTATAAAGACACTGAAGAATATGTGATAATAAAGGGCATAAAAGCTTGTACCAGGCTAATATTATTAGGGTAATACGAAATCAGCGAGGATGAGATGCGGAGATGAGAAATACATATAAATTTTTCTTCAGTCAACCAGAAGTGAAAAAGATCAAATACAATTATGAGATATGCATGTTTTTCAATAGGGTCTCTATAATGAATATTTGCTATACAGAAAACACAATATGCTTAGTGTATGATTTCTTCTGCACCCACCCTCTCTCTGTTCTTCATTTTCACGTACCTGTTCCTCCTTTATCATATACTTGTTCAATGTGTACTTTTCGTTTCAAATTAAGTGTTTATCACAATGAAGAAATACACATCTGTGAACTTTATATTTGATTTACTTTACTGCTATGTATATATGTATTATCCCAGGTCATTATGAATTTAATTAATAAATTTAAATTAATTAGAAATCAATTTCATGTAATTAATTTTCGTTTTCAAAGAACTCCAAGTGCTGCTGGATATGTGATTTCAAATTTCATATCGTGTTCCAAGGATTTATATAGCAATTTGAAGGGAGGAAGCTTCTCATTGAAACAGTCATGCCCCAGTGTGTTTGCTTCATACTTACACTTGTATTTACTCATAGACATGGATGGCATTTCCTTCTACATGGAGCATTTTTATTCATAAGCCATTTGTTTAATAAAAGGACTGCACAGAATTTAATTGTGAAGCCCTCTTTATTACTGTTCCTTTGAAGAAAAAACTGTAAATTAAAATCTTTGCTTTCAGTATGTGTATTTAATCAAACACATAATAATTAAAACTACAGAGGTCTGTTCTTCCATGTAAACAGCTTACGGTTCATATACCGCCTCTTCAGAACTCTTCTATTTATATTCACATATGCCTAATAGTGTAATTTAAAGTGTAGTGGACTCCAATACTCTGTGTATTATCTAAACCGTATTGTTTAATAAATTTGTATAAGCCATTCATTTCAGTTCGACTATGTTACTATGAAAACTATTTGTAATCTTCCCATTAAACTGGACAGTAAATTATTATTAGTAGTGCAATTGTCTTAGGTAAAGGTAAAAGTTAAATTTAGCCCTATAACGGACCATGAAGACCCATAGGGTTGTGAGATATTGAGGCTCCCACATTTTCTAGAAAATTGGCCCACAGACAGCAGTAAAGTTGTCAGCCTTAAGTGCCGGCCACCCTTTACCCCCAGGAATATCCCTGGTACTCATTTATGTTATAAGCTGAGTCGACCTCAGGGCTATAGTGTGGCTGGAAAGATCAGGTGAATTGAAAAAGTCCATTTAACTCATTAGGACTTGAACTCATGACCTTCCAACTTGTAGCTATGCTAATGCTTGCCCTCAGTATGATTGTCTTATTTGTTTTAACTAATTTCAAGGAGAATCACTCCTTACTTCAAAATTATGAATACAACACATAGTGAAAGAATAGAGTGTAGATTGTTGTGAATTGTGTATTTCATTTTCTGTACTTTATAGCTCATCATACTAAAGCACATTACCCTTTTACAAATCAATAAATTTGTTCTCTATTACAGTAAATGTTGATGCAGCTAATGAATATGCATGTTGTACAACATTATTATTCCAAAGCAAATTATGAGTACTGCCTCACTAATTATGACTATGTTTATAGACAGTCTGTGATTGATTATAAATATCAGTAATTGAATGAAACTTAATTTCTCTGAATATAATTATTTTTTTTTTTTAATTTTCATATAGTAATTAAAATTATTAAAATTTGTATTGTAAGATTAATATTACCACTATCAAAGTAATGTTTATAGATTTACACTGTGGAAGTAGAACCAAACTTTGAGCATCCTAAATCCATAATCCAACAAAAGATAAACCCTTCACTCACTTGTGCCTGTGACTCATACTTGCAATGATCTTCCCCTAGATTAATTTTGATATTATGGTCCAAGAAATATCCCACTTGCCACAGAAAGTTTGTATGCATTCTTAGTCACCTCAGTTCTCCACACAATTCTACTTAATCCATATAAATCAAAAAGTTTTGTAGAACCAAATATTTTATTCTGCATATTTAGTAAATAGTTGTGGACAACTGATAAGGGGTATCCTCCAGCTTACGAATTAGAAGGAGAGTTTACCATTAGCTGCTCTGTGTTACTGAACTATTATATTTTGCATTCTTCACCAGCTATTATTGGGGTCATCAAATAAGGGAAGAATTGATGGCTGGGATATGTAGTCCACATGGAAGAGATGAGAAATAATACAGATTTTGGTTGTAAAACCTGTAGATAATATACTGCTTCAGAGACATAAACAGGGGTGGGGGGATGATATTAAAACATATCTCTAAGGAATAGGGTATGATGATATGAGGTTGGATCGTGTGACTGAGGGCAAAAGCCAATGGTGAATAATTGTCAACGTGTTAATGAACCCTTGGGTTCTATAAGAAGAGGTGTATATTTCTTCAGTAGCTGAGGGATCCGTTTCTTTATAAATGCATCAGAGGCTTAGTCCAGAGGCTTCTCCTGCCAAAAAGGAGAATTCACACGCCAATTCTGAAATGTAATTTATGGCTGGATACCTATGAGAGACTCATGCAAAAAGTTATTTTTTCATACTCTGTAAAGAACTGAAACTAGTTCAGCACCTGTATTTGTGTACAGATCACTTCCTAAACAAAGAAGTTTAATGTAAACAATTATAGATCACCAAGAGGTGATAAAACTGTGTGCTCTTAAATGTGATTTGTTTCCATGCTTTCTGCCTGTAGATACGTCGTGGGACTACAATTTCTGCTAGCAACGTTGGTCCCCCTCCAGCTCTTCCCGCACCTGTTCCCACACCAAAAGTTCCAGCTTCATCGACGCTTCCCGTTGCACGAGGAGTGGCAGATAGGCGTCTGATACACCCACCTCCGATGCCACCACTCCCACTGCTTGGAAATGCAAAGAGACCACCAGGAGCTATTGGAAGCGGTATTGGGAATGCCAGTCTCCACAGTAGTAATGACAGTGGCTTCAGCAATGACCCCCCTCCAGCCCCAGAGGTAGACTACTCTGATGAAGACAGCACCAGGTAATACTTCAAATTGTAGTAAGAATTTTGGTGCATATAGAAAGCACCTTTTACTTTGTCATATGTCACTACCTGATAGTAACAGCATCCAAACTAATGAACAATTATGGGTTCATACCTGTGTGGTAGACCTCTACAAAATTTACCAAACAGAGATTCTGATATAGTTTGGTCCATTTTAAAAACAGGGCTTCTCAAGGATTGATATGTCCTTTTAATTATGCCTTTCAAGTTCTTTGACTAAGATTGATTAAAATGGATATGTAGCACTTATGTTACACACATATTATCGTTTATAAGTTGACCAATTTCAGTTTATTTAACAACCACTTTATATGAAAGCCTCAGTAATCTTTCATTTTCATCATATGAGTGAATTTTATAAATTGTTTTGATGTTTGATAGTTTTAGTTTCTGGTACCAGTATTTTTATATGTGTGTTTAGTAANACTGATGATGATGATGAGTAATTTGAACTCATTTTAAAGACACTTCCTGTAGGGACCCAATCCCTCTTTTTATGCTTTTGAGTTGTTTGTTAAATATTGATGAAACCTCATAAGATACATTTCAGAGTAGGAATATTACCATGTTTAAGTTTAAAGTCTGCATTTCTTAAGGTAATAATACATTCTGGGACATGTTGATGTAAGTTTCGAGCTAAAAGTATAATTATTTCAACACAATTTGCAAGTATCAACAGAAGGTAAATATTAGCTCATGTGCAATATATACAAAAGGTTCATTGATTTTGAGAAATACTCATTAATTGTTCACCATTGAAAGCACTGTCTGAATTCGTGTGATCTTCTCTCGCCATCCAGTGTTTTTGTATTGCGTACACAGCATATGGTGCCACATACCTTGGCAGCAGACATATGTAAATTAACTACACTGTCCAACTGCCACTCCTAGCAATATTTTGTTTCATGTATTGGAGCTTAACAGGAAAGCCCCTGTTGAATTATTCATATTTAAAACAAGTCTGTCTTTTCTCCATATATGAATAATCATATAATTAAGTCCCATTGAACCAAATTTGCAGGTCTACTTAATACGGCATTGTTCCAGTGAACTGTAATTTAGTGATAATATTATGGGACTAATTTTGACTGAAATGTCACGGTTTACATGACAGTAAATGTTGAAATAGAAATAAAATAGCTGAAAGTCTGGTGTTGGATGTCTGATGAAAAATGTTATATAATATTTGTGTCAGTCTTATTCTAGAATTCGTAGTCATTGTGACTGCTGTCATTCCAACAATATAGTTGCCTCTCCATTCATATAAGTCTAGTGAGTTTTAGCAATGTGTATCTTTTATTTGTGTAATTATGATCTGTAATTAAAACTATGGTCACAAATCCATTCATGTTAGTAATATGCCTAGAGTGCAGCACATTATGTTTTCTTTAAAATAGTTGTGTTCTAAATTAAATAAATAAGAAATTCATTACTTGACTGACATATATTAATTTGCTTTATTTATATCTTGTTACTGTCCTGAGAACAAGAGTTAACAAATGTTTGCATAGCAGCTTTGGGTAGACATTTAAACTTTTGTGCTTTTTGTTTGTATTATACCATATATAATAAAGTTATTCTTTCCTTTTGTCCTCTAAATTATAAGCAGAAAGCCTCCAGACCATAAAGCAGTGAGGCCACATAATGGAACACCAGAAGATGAAGATCCTTCTACACCTGTAAATATAGTGCAGAAACGCAAAAAGCAGCTGCTATCTTCCGTTAGAGGCTGGCTTCTGTATAAGTCAGCACTCGACCTCTGGGATGATGTGAACAGCCAGCATGTGAATAGTCTCCCAAACAGCAAGCAAGGAAATGCATCAACCAGTGCTCAACATCCACTTGCTTTGCGCCAATCATCAAGTGTTGGACACCTAGCAACATTGGGACGTTACAGTGGAGATAAGAATCAGGCTGCAATGACTCTCCCAACAGATATCCAGCGACCTTTACCTAAAGAGATAAAATCAATGGAACTCTTAACATCTTCAGGAAAGAAAAGTTTTATGAGCAATGGTGCAGGAGGTGGTACAATGGTAAAGAGGAGCAAATCTCTGTGGAAATTCAGGAGATTTAATCGAGATGATGATGGTATCCTTGAAGGAATGTCTCTATGGCAACATCGCTCTCTTGTTGATGTCCACATTGCAGTGCAACAAGAAGAGGAGGCAACATTGTCAACACCAACAACAGTAAAGAAAAAGTCAACAGGTACCAACACATCCCAGATAATTGACCCTGAATTACCTTCAAACAACAAGTGCCCAACTCCAGTCATGAGAATGAAACTTGTGCCTGTTAAAGACGATCAGGGTATTTTAAATGGTAATGTTGGCACACCTCCAAAACCTATGGAGAGGAAAAGCATAAAGGCAACTCAGAATGGTGGGATCTCTACAAATAAAGAAAGCAATGCCAGAAATAAGAGTCCTGTGCCAACTTCAAAGAAGCCACCACCCAGAAATAATGTTGATACCAAGGATGATGATGGTTTGCTGATACCAAGATCAGTCCAGCAACAGTACTGTTCCTCTGATGAGGAAGATGATGTTGATGATGAAGAAGAAGAAAACACTGATCTTGAGAATGGTGACAGTGAGTCATGTATTGTGGTGGATGACCACATGAAGGCTAAGATTAGTTTAAGCAGAAGGCAGCAGATTTTGAGGGAAGCCAGGGCATCAATTGAGAGAGGAACACTGTTACCTCGCACGAGGCTTGTGAAGGAACATGGACGGAAAACCAGAGTGGAAATCCCAAATTCTGCAGATGGGCTCTTGTACTATGGACGTACCCTACAATATCGATTGAAGAAACCTGAACGTGGGTCCAGATTTGACCAAGTGTCAGAGATCACAGGAAACATATACGGACCTTGGTATGATTTATGGGGTGTTGATTCATCTGTTAGACAGTGAACTGAGTTGTGGAATACAGAGACAAGGACTGTTTGATAAATTAGGTTACTCATTACCTACATAATGATGATTTTATGATTTTCTTTAAAATTACATATTATTTTATTACATATGGGCTGCTCCCTCCATTGTCTGTAGATTTTAACTCTCTCACTATATGCTCAATTTCAGTACATGACACTGTACATAATATTGAATTTGTAATTTTACAGAAGTGTTTGTTTATAATAAAAGTTTACATACCTATTATTTTCTTCAAGCCAGTTCAGTAACATAAAAACACTTCTGTGTGCTAATAAATAGGTTGGGTGGTATTATAAAAACTCACTAAAACATGTTGCATGTGCATGCTGCACCATACCTTGACCTACTTTTACATGTCTGAAAAATGTGTATTACAAAATATGAATTAACCATAACAAATCATTAATTTCTGTTGTAGCATATGTTGCTGTTATTTTATTATAAATAAATACAGTGCGTACAATCAAGTGCGCGCCGCGGCTGCAATTTGCCATGAGTCATACCACCGCAGAACGGATGCAGTCGCCGGGAGGAGTTGCAACACTCCCCGCGACTGCAGTGCCGTTCTGCGGTGGTATGACNGACTGGCGTAATAAGATACGACGTAGCGATCGGGAACCCTGAACAGTTTTAATATTTTTACGATTGACATTTGTCAATATATATGATGGACATATATTTTAGTTATTTTAAAGTGAAGACAAGGCATACAATGTACTAGTTTGACGTTTTATACATGTTTGAACATTAGCCAGGAATCTGGCTTCTGGCTTTCATTTGTATATTCTCAGAAAATAAGGAATGCAAAACTAACAGTAAATGAGCTTTCACTAATGCAGTTATTATAACATTTTTCCCAAGCTTAAAGAAGGGGCAAATCAAAGATTAACAAAATAGTATAATTATAGAATTGTATGTTAGTAAAAGTTATCATGTGATACATTTTATATGGGCTCCCTTGTACCGAGTTTGGTGCATTAGTAGACATTGAAGTCATATTCACTGAACATGACCTGAACCTGCTTGCAGGTCAGAATGACATGTGACATATAAATATTGCACATGTGTTTTCCAACACATTTCACAGATCATCAAAGAAATATGTTGGAAAATGCTGCCATTAATATTCCATTCTTCTTGTCCTATTAACGTTCAGAAGCATGAAGAAATATACATGTATATCCAGGTACCCACGGAAGTATGGCAATTGCATGCGGTGAGGGAAAATAATCTGCACTCGCTTCATACTCTTACTGTCTGTGATAAGTAATGTTAGAGTTGTGAAGATTGGTAACATTGATTGTGTTAGATTTGAGGTCTTTTGACAGTGATTAGGCGGACTACTGTTTCCTGGAATGTGAAGATTTGCAGCCTGGTAGAAACTCACTGATATCTTGGAGTAACATACTGCCCCTCCATCTCTATTAAGTTCGCTTCTTGCTATCATTTCTTATATAATATAATCAGATTTATTCTACACATATAAGCAATCTGAAAATTAAATTTGTTAAAAAACCAGCATGTTTTCATTATCATGTGACATATGTGTGGAATTCATTAAGGAAGAGTCATAATATTGAAGTCCAAGCATTATTATTGTGATACAGTTTTTTACTTTTTTATAAATGAGTGACAAAAACACACTGAATGGCTTCACTCAGTAAAATTAAACAATAAATGTTAACAGAATCCTACATCAGACAGCATTGATTTAAATTTACTGTGACACATTAATATTACATTTGAATTCACATACCATTCTTTTGTATTTGAGTTCTGCATCTTATACTCACCCAGAACTACAGAAGGATGAATTTTCATATCTTCCAAAATGTCCTGATATGTTAATTATGTTCTCTTTGTCTGGAATTCTTCCTGTAGACAGAAATGACTTTGACAATACTGAACATGTCTTGATGGTGTTTCAGGGCTAACGTTTTTGCCACGGTGAAGCTGAGAAAGACGAAAACTAATGACCGATCTGCTCCCCTCATTTCATAATAACCTGCTGCTTGGTGGTTGGATGCTTGTAGCCTCTGCTCAACTTGTAGTACTTGAAATGATTTCAGAAAATTCTCTCAGAGATCACTATGAGTGTACAAATGATAAGGCAAACTTGATGTATAATATCTGTGACTTTGAGTATGAGTTCATTGTTTTACAAGATGGAAATGGACTTAAGAATTAGTGCCCTTGGATGATATGATTTTATAAGCTAACTAGCTACAAATTACTTCCTCAAAATATACAAGTGATGACAAATATAAGATCATTGGATCATTATTTTGTATTTAGATAAACTACATACCAACTAACTCCATTAGTTACCATTGAAAACAGCCCATGCTTATATAAAACACTTTTTAAAATTTGTCCATAATTGATTCTCTTTTTGTCAGGATAAATGTCATGCATTTTGAAGACCTGTTATTTAAATGCTTCACAACAGTTTTTATGACATTTATATGAATGACGGGCATGTAATAGGGAGTGACACTACGCAACTCTCTTCATTAGTTACACACCAACTGAGTAACAAATTCAGTATAAAGAATCTGAAAAGTTCCTGAGCTTTATGGTGAAGTCCTCCTGCACAGACATTTTGTATGTTTTATTTGTAATTAGTGAAGAAACATACATAAAGAGTCGAAAATTATAGTGAAAGTGAACAGCGATCTTTGCATTTATTCAGATTCTAAGGAGATTTTTGTCTATCATATGTTGTCAAAATCATATTTTATAAAGCATTAAATATTGTTAGATAAAATAAGACTTCTTAAGCAATTTAAAAATTAAGCAACATGTGAAAGAAACATAGGGTCTTAATTATGAACGTATTATACCTTTAGTGCCGGTCACAGTAGCTGAGCAGTCTAAGTCATGTACCCTCTTCACTCGCTCAGAACCCGGGATCATGGTTTCGAATCCCACACAAAGCATGGATGTGTAGTATGAGTATGCATTTATTCTGTGTTTGCGTTGTCCTGTGTTTAGGTAGAGTCCTTGCGATGGGCTGATCACTCAACCAAGGAATCCTGCTGCCTGAAAAAAATCAATTAAATTGAGAAATTAGCCCTATGCTCCAAAGTGGGAGCAAGAGGAAGACAAAAAAACTACTTTTAGTATATCCCATGCTACCAGTTGACTAGTATGAAATCACCTCATAAATATGTAGCCTTTTGATTCAGAGTTAACTGTAACTATTTTAAATAATACATTTAAACAGTAAAGCTACATAGTAATACCAGAAAACAAAGAAATATTCTACCATCTACCATTCAGTGCTACATAAGACTTTATGGAGAAGCTTCATACATGGGAATAAATTAATCAGCCTTTAGAATGGTAATGTTTTGTGTCAGGAGGGTGTAACTATAAAACTGATCCGCAAAATTTATTTTCATATGTTAGTTTCTATAAAATTCTTAACATGAATTATGATATATTTTATTAACATTGAGTATGTATAGTTATGTTGATAGAAATCAGGATGATCTTAAGCTGTGTCTTCCACAATAATCCATTCTTTAATATCACTGTCATATAATAAATATTTTTTTTTCTTTTTGGATGTGGGAGCAGTTGGAGGGTCATTGCATTTAACATGTACTGTTAGGTTATAAGATATATCACATTTATATATGTTGCATGTCACAGAAAAATAATTTCTTCTGCTTGAATGGTATAAAAAACTTATAGGACACTTCAAGCACTCCTCAATTGGTTGTTGGTCTCCATTTTTTGGTGGCGGTTGTGGTTGTGGTGGTAATACTGTTAAGAGCACTTTGTAGCTTCACAGTGATTGGGAAAGGAGGTAGCTAATTGCTCTGCTATTGAAACTGTGTAAATGAAACTCAAGGTAATCATTTGCTTAGAGGGTCTTGTTAACTGGATGTATGTTCAGACTCTGCCTCTGACTGGAGTGCTGTATACTAACATCAGTACCAAATTAATATCACCGTCCATACAGCTTCCATGAAAACTGAAAGATTAGTGAATACAATTAAAATGTTCAAAGAAATCTTCCTCTAAATGATTTGATATGTTATTGAATACATATTTAAATTAAATTTATATAATTTGATTGTAATATTATATTTGTTATTTAGGCTGTAGTAATGCTGCCTGAAAATCCAATCATTGAGGAGTATTGCAAACCATTTGTAGGGTTCTGGTTTCATATAAAATGAAATTAACAATTTTAACTGAGACGAGTTTTCTGATCTTCTTTTCTGTGGTTCCCAGAATAAAGTTTCACCTAATCATGTTGATAACCAGATTTCTGTTGGTGTCTTAGAGAGAAAGATTTTGTTAAATGAACTTCAGTTATATCACACCCACAAGAGTGATTTGGAGTTTTTGTATATTCCATGTAGTGACTGATGACTGAATGCTTTGTAACTGTGGAACATCATTATAAGATGTGGCAACAGTAATCTTAATAAATGTTTCAATCATATCTCATGGTTGTTCAGTTTAGGAAATTATCTTCATTAAGAAAAGTAGACTATTTTGTTTGATTTCCAATTTTTTATAAGACATATGCAGTCAATTTCAATATTTTCCATAAATGTATGTACCAACTTCATTCTTACGTAATGCTGTAATTATTAATTACAGATAAATATATGCATATATTGACAAAAATTCCAGTTAGGAAATCTAATACTGTTCCATGTTTGATACGTAAACCTATCTTTGGGTTATGGGTTTTTCATTTTAAGTTAAGAATATGAATCTAGGAAGTAAAATATTCATTACTCTTGTAATATGTTTCTTATGTGAGGTTACATTTCAGATGTCAGTTATATCCAAATGAATATTTTGTTGTCCTTTGTTTGTATATATTATATGAAATATCAGATAATCAACAGCCAGCATAGCTTCTCTTTCATTCCTGTTGCCAGTCATTATACTTAGCTTAGTGTTTTCATAAAAAGCACTTTATAATGATATAATTTAATAAAAATGTTTTGTAAATGCATTATTACAAAAGGTTAGATAAATAATATCAGCTTATGTGCATATATATAAATATAGATTATGCAGAGAAAAACATATATATTGAAGAGATGTTCAGAATGTATGTATATAGTTGTGTATATTTTGTTTAATAATTGACATATGAGATGTTTTTGGGAAGGTGACTAGGTTATGTACTAAACAATAATTGTACAGTGCTCATAATACAAAATGAGTCTCTTAGTTGGAGAGGAAACCCATTTTATGGTGCATTTTGTACTCTGCTGCAGCAGAAGTGGTAACATTTCTTCAAAGTGAATTGCTCATGAAAAATATACCAATGACTTATGTGTTAATATGGGTCCTGGATTAAACCTGGCACTGCCAATGTATATATTTAAGAAAAAAGTCAATTCTTTATTTTTAGTTGAAAATTGTTTACATTTAACAAGTTAATATTAAGCCATGATATAATCAGTT